TCACTAGCCCCAGCCTGCCACATATTTTATAGTAAGCAGTTTTAGTCTTTCAGATTAGCAAGCTATATATATATTTAGTGCTTTATTCTCAAACTGTTTCACCACAAATGACAGCTCATTTCACAAACAGCTTATCTTATGGCTAAAGATATATAAATACATACTAAAAATGCTGCTGAAAGTCTCAGAATGTATAATGCAGCCTGGTAGACATGGTAGTGATTGTAACACTGCATTGTAGACACAAATGTTAAAGAAACTTGGCAAGAAGCAACACATTTTAGCTACTCAAAATTCAGATTTTCTCAGACTTGTCCCCTTCTGATGAATGGAACATATGGGAGTATTGTTCATAAAACTTACATTGCTTTTCTTGATGTCTACCAAAATTCCTCATCATGACAATATTTACCAAGATACATAAAGATTCAAATTTGAATTAATTACCCAGAAGTTTTTCTGTTCTTCCAGGTTTGCTGGAAAAGAAAAACACTTCAGAAGCAATGTGTTGTGAGCATTTAGCAGTAGATGTTTTAGCAGCAGAGGTAGCAGAGTGCTTGCTGGGGAAGGGGCCTACCCAGTTAAAAGCCATCGCTGCTGAGTGAGATAAAAGACAGGGAAGAAAGCAGCTGCTTTGCCAAGAAGCAGTTTGAAATCTGACATTATAAACAAAACACATTTAGATCTAGACATAAATCCTCCGTATGCTGAAGGCTCAATAATATTTTAGCTAGCATTATTACTTACAAACAAACAGTTCCTGAGATACAGCATCAAAACTGCAGAACAGCCTTTAACCTTGTGTTCATCCACTCAAGAGCCATGTTATTTATTATCCTTTATCCCTTAATTATGGGGACTTCACCTACTGCTCTCTACTCATTTGAAATGCAGAATAAAATACAATGGATGTCTAAAGACTTAACAGGTGTCAACCAGATATTTGCCAGCTACTGCTACTATTCTACTGGGAGGAGTTGCTGTTCTATAAATACTAATTAGAGTTTTGCACATGATCTTGCTGAAATACCTAAGGTGATGAGTGGCCAGTTGTTACTTTTAAAAGATTAGCACAATTTGAAAAACTAATGTCCCCAATGAGGCAATGCTCACACTGAATAATCAAGAGTTATAGCTGTTCTCTGCCCAAAGGGAATATTTGCTCACTTCATCATTTGGAAAATCTGCTGCCTCTCGAACAATTCACTCTTCTATTTAACTTTGAGAAACTTGTAAAACTTTGTGCAATCAATAAATTAGTACAGTATATGTACTTAGATGGTCTTCTACTGCTATGCCCACATGGCAGGCTTTTTTACTACCTTTACTTCCAAAGACAGAGCTCTCAGTGTAAAAACATGATTAAGAAACTGCAACAAAATAATGTCATACTTAAATCAAGCAGCAAAGAAAAATAGGATTACAGCACAAAGTCCACAACACACAGCAAAAATTCAATTTCCTCAAATCCATCTCCCTTCAAATTCTTCACATCCACTAAACAGGAAAAACAGACACAGGCAAATCAGAACAGGTCTCTATGATACTGAGGTTTTATATTAAAAAATTTATATATAGCAATTTTTGATTTTAAAATACCCTCCAATTCTCTAAAATCTTGGTGCAATAGTAAATTTTAAGCAAAATGTTAAAGTGACACAGCCTATTTCCTTGGTTTGTAATAAAATCTTGAGTTTTATCTTGTCCAGTACACAACTGATGTCACAAGGTGTGACACATTGCTGTATTTCTATATGTGAGCCGTGCTTCAATGCAGTGAATTTGATACAACTGATATAATCCCTTACTATTTAGTGTCCATGACCAAATGGGGAAAACATATGCATCATTTTAATCAGAATTTTTTTCCAGGCTTTAATATTTTTTTTTTTAAGAAATCTTTTTCTTTACAGTGAAACCTATATTTTTCCTTATCCCTCAAGGATATCCCTACTGCTTCCTCTTTTCCAGTAGCTCATTACTGGAAATGTTTGGCCTTGCTTCAAAAGAGAAGAATATGTCAACACCAGAACATCTGTGTCCACATGGAGTGCTTTGATGACAGTGATATACTCCATTTACATCAGTAACACTGAGCTGAACCTGGATGCTGTCTGCATTTAAAGATCTTACCCCACAGGGCAAGAGAATACAGGTCAAAAACGTTGATCTCTGTTTGACACTCTCTCTACTTCAAGAGCACTTGGCAGCAATTTGTTCCAGAGTCAAGAATCAAACTCACAAAGTGTTGCAAAGCTCGGAGCCATGTTTGCATAACCACATTCAAAACAAATATTAAAATTCACAGTCTCTGGAGGCCAATCTACTTTTGATATGCAGGGGTTTGTGAGCAGTACAGTCAAATTCTAGCCTGAATACAGAAGGAGTTTTCATTTAAATCAAAAAAGCCTTAACTCAGGCCTGAACATCTTTCATTAAGAGGGATAATGTACCTATATCTCTCAAATGCAAAAAGGAAAACAGGCACTTTATCATCTAAAAGTAAAAATTGATCATCTACAAAGGGAGTGGAATAGTTATGTGTGACACATGGTTGTGCCTATCAGTGGGGTCAGAGGAAGTTGGGTGAGTTTTGGTACAGAACAAATGCAGGCACAATAATGATTAATTCCTCAAATATTTCATAAAGAGGAGTTCAGAGATGAAGCCTGAGCTACAGAGTATTTGTAGCCCATGGCTACTGGTAATCTTCCCTTTAACTGGATTTTAAAACCTTTAGCATTTCTTCAGCTTTTTTTAATTAATATACCATTTTCTAATTTAATTACATTGTGCCCACAAAAACTGCTATGCTGACAAAAACCCTAATATGAGGTGGAGAGTTCCAATAGTCTCCTTCCACACCTTCCTCCCCTCATGTAGAGCTCAGCACTTTTGCAGCGTTGAATGATCCAGTACTGCTTACAAGAGTAATACATACAAAACATCAAACAGGATCCAATCAATGCAGCTGGATATTGCCCTGCTCGTGTTCAAGGACCACAGCCACCTGTGTGCTGCAACAGCAGCTGCCACTGCTGCTAAATCCTATTTCAGCAAACAGAGAAAGAGAAAATTTTGTTTACAGGTTGCACTAGAATGCCATGGAAACAGATACAGAGGTAACTGTGAAAGGCATAATCCAAATGGAAGACAGCCCTGATAGAGCTCATATATCCAAAAATAATATATATGTTTTCCCACTTGGCAAACACATGCATAAATCCTATTAACATCAAGACAGAAAATTATACTGAGTAGACCCCAATATCACCAAGGTCCCTGATAACAGTATGAATTAATGTGCACCTTCAAAGCAGAGCAAGATGTTTTCATATGCAGACTATTAGAAAAAAATAAAAATATCTTAATAGAATAATCATCTTTTTAAAGAAAAAAATTACATCTTGAATTTTTGAAACAGGATTAAAGTGTGGTAGTAGCCCTGTAAAAGGAAGCTGCTCAGCACCTGCTGCCTACACTGTGCCTGGCTTCAGGCAATGTTATTCATTCCTCACTTTCATGGGAGCAAAATACATCCTCTAAAAATATAAAACACAAAAATAAATAGATCTCCAGGGAAATTGAAGAGAAATCGGTTTTAAAAATAGTGAAGGAGCCTCTATGTTCTAAAAAAATAAGTCCATTTTGCATTGTTTTGTAAGATTTACACTTTAATTTGAAACCAAAGTAAGGCATAAAATTTGTATGAAAGCAATATCTGATTTATAGATAAACTTAAAACACAATACACTCAGCTGCAAATACCAGACCCCAGTGAGAGAAGCCAAAGGTTTTGAAAGATGATTAAAATATGCTTGATAAATGTGGCCCTGAAATGCCCCAAAAGATTTTTCTGAAGTTAAATAGTAAACACAATTAACATGGCTTTTGCTACAAAAACACTAAATGCAATGGATTTTTTAAATTAATTTTCAATGTTATTACATGTTCCTATTGAGCTGGAATTGACTCAATCCACTAACTGTACTGTGAGTCAGTTCTTTTGTCCATATGACCTTGCCATCTAGACAAAAAGCCAAATATCCATTCTGTTGGTCATATGAAGAGGAAGCCACACAATGAGAACAATCTTATGACCACCATTTCCATCTTGTGAGTGGAAAATTTGTGACAGTTGAAGCATTTAAGAAAGATATATTCATAAAGCCCAGATAATGTCCAGCTTGATCAAATGTATTACTAATTAACCAATAAAAAGTAGCAGCTGTGGAGGCTGACAAGAATAACTTACTGTACACCTCTGGCCTAACCTCACTATCCATATTCAAACAAGTCTCCTGGCAAAGGCAAATCAAATAATTCTTGGGAGTCTTGCATGCATTCAGACTCACTAGATTTACATATTATTATTCACAGTAGATGTTTCATTACATTTGCTTTGAGAAAATGTACAATCTATATGGGTATTCACATGTTTAATATGCACATGAGTTCTCATTTTGTACATTTTATGTAGCTGATGATGAGGTTGTTTGGCCTCCCTCTGCCTTAGACCAGGCACTGCTCATTCACATGAGGTCAACTCACGTGGCAGAGCTCAGAGCTCACATTCCCCCACCAAACTCCAGCCATCCCAAAAAAGGCAGAACAATTCCAAGCAGCTTTTCAAAACCAGACCAACCCCAGTCCATCTCCCATAATATTTGCAGGGTTTTTCTGGGAGATTAATGCAGGCAAAAAATGGTACAATTGCTCTCTTAAGAACTGGACAGTTTCTGTAAAACAATCTGTCCCAAGCCCTGACTGCTCAGTTTGCTCAAATGAACATCCCTTCAGTCATGGCACTTGAAACAAGGCACTACAGTGGCCCCCAGAATTCAAATTCACATCTGTTCCAAAGAGAACCTGTCCTCACAACACTGCTGCATCAAGGTTCTCATACTCTCAGGTAAAAGTGCTCCTCAACCATGGGGTCTTTGGTCCAAGTGCCAAGTAAAACACATTTATCTCATTAATTCTTTAAGGGAATAACTCACCATTTTGGTCGGCTTGTGGATTTCACCATTGGAGCCATCCCATCTCTGTAGAGGCTTTTTGTTTTACTGAAGTTGACAACATTGAAAATTACTCTCTGGAAGGGAAAAAAAGGAAAAGAAAAGAGATCAGGTATAAATTCTGAAAGACTTTCTACATGTGCTGTCTATACCAGATGCATAAAAATATACACAGATAACATATGCAATAGATGTGTAGCTTATGAATTATTGGTATTCTCCATAGACTCAGATAATGGATATCCTGTCTGTTCCAAGTATTTAAAATGTCCATGTTGTTTCACACTGCATTGATACACGTGAAATATATGTTTTTAATTTAGCACGCTGATTTTTCAGTAGGAATTTTAGCCAGACAAAAAAATGAGCAGAGCTAGTCCAGTGTGCTGCAGTTAACATTACAGAGATGGATGGAAACCTGGGAGGTGGGGTAGCATTCCTTGTGAAAACCTTCTAACTGCTTCACAGAACCATAGGATAGAAACATAGAATTGCTGAAGTTGGAAAAGAGTTCCAAGATCAAGTCCAACTATTAATCCAGCACTGCCAAGTCCATTGCTGAACCATGTCCCTGAGCACCACATCCACATCCCTCTGGAGAAGGTGATCACTTCCCTTAGTGGACAGTTCCAATCCTTAACAACCCTTTCAGTGAAGATTTTTTTTCCCCAATATACAATCTAAAACCTCTAATAAAACCTCTTGTCCTATTGTTTGTTATCTGGGAGAAGAGACTGACCCCCACCCTGCTATAACCTCCTTCCAGGTAGTTGTAAGGTCACCCCTGACCCCCCTGTTCTCCAGGCTGAGCCCCCCAGCTCCCTCAGCTGCTCCTCACCAGAGCTGTGCTCCAGACCCTGCCCAGCCCCGCTGCCCTTCCCTGGGCTCGCTCCAGCCCCTCAATGTCACTCTTGGCATGAGGGGCCCAGAGCTGGGCACAGCACTCGAGGTGTGGCCCCACAGTGCCCAGGACAGGGGCACAGTCACTGCCCTGCTCCTGCTGCCACACCATTGCTGGGACAAGCCAGGTGCCCCTGGCCTTCCTGCCCACCTGGGCACAGCTGGCTCACGTTCAGCCCCTGCTGAGAGCACCCTCAGAACATTTTTCCCCAGGCAGTTTTCCAGCCACCACAGGGATTGTTGTGGCCAAAGGCTGGACCTGACACTTGGCCTTTTTGAACTTCATACAATTTGCCTTGGTTGATCAACCCATCCTGTCCAGACCCCTCTGCAGAGCCTTCCTGCATTCCAGCACATCAACACTCCCATCCAAGTTGGTGTCATCTGCAAACTGACAAGGGTACACTTGGCTCCCCACCCTTCTTAGCCCTCACGCAGCAGCAGCAAAAAAAAAAAAAAAGTTTTCTGATTTTTTTTTCCCAAAGATAGGAATATTTCTCTTCCCCTGGCAAAAGGAAGAATTTTCCTTTGCAAGAAGTGTCCAGGATACCTACCTAGATATTGCACATAGCCATCAGTTGTTTGAATATGAAGAAAAAAATATTCTAAATCTGATCTTAGTTTAAACTAAAACTTTGGGGAAACTGAAGATGATATTTAATAGGTCAAGGGAAGACTAGAATTTAGATCTTTAAGGGTAATGGACTGATACTAAAAGGAAATTAATGCGGGGAGAAGACAAGAGAAAACAGAGACAAAACCTTTTTCTTTACCATCTGTCTGCTTCAAGTCATTTCATACAAAATTACTTATTCTGTCTCTGTTAAGAAAATCTAAATTGGATCTAGCTCATCTCATGGAGAACACTGACTTTTCAGATGGCAAATGCAGTATCCCTCATTTGTTGTACTCTTTTGATACCCAATGTTGATGTATTCCAAGAAAACAAAATATGAAGTCTAAATTAGTTTTTATAAAACAGTCCACAATATACTGATGCATTCAATTTGTATCTCTCTTTAAATTTGTTTTTTTTAAAGGTAGAAGTGAAGACAAACCACTAAAAATTATATTCACACTTTTCTTTTAGAGCAAACAATTATAACATTGGCACCCTTCATAATGGTCCACAAGAAGCCTGAGAACTGATTGATCACTGTTTAAAAATCAAACAATTTTTGACAAAAACAATAAGCTTTCATATGTAAAACTTTGCAAAAACAAATCTTGACCTTCCAGGCAGTCTGCTCAGGCAATAGGGAGTGAGAATATTAAAGTGAAAGGAATCAGCAGTGGGACACAAACAGGAACCAGGCACATTTATCTTTTCATATGGGATAGGTAGGAGGCCAGGTAAACTGCATAGTCCTAAGTGGCTCTGTACTCAAGAAAAATTAAGTTTTTTTGAGGTAAGGTGGTGCTGAAGGTTTTGTGAATGGGAGCACATACATCTATGCTGCAAATTCTGCCAATCAGTAAAAGCAAAAGCTAAAAATAACCTTTAGGTTTGACTAGAACTGACATGAAAAACTAGAAAGTTGAGAAAATCACTTTTTTGAAGGTGGTAATTCAATTTTGCACCAAAGGCAGTAGGGAAACTACATATCCCTGCACAAGAGTTTTCATGTATTTTGATTTTGATATTTTCTAGTGGTCATGAGATGAACTTATTTTTATAACTCTGGATAAAAGAATGCACTTAAATTTACAGAATGTTATGTCTGTAATTTTAGGTATTTAGGCTATTGCTTATCTGATGAAATATCCACTTTGAGAGGTCTCCAGTTATTTTCCATCTAATGTTTATAATGGATGGCTTTAAGTTACAGAATGGTATTCAGGTCTCTACATGCTTTATGCTCTACATAGAAACATTTCCTCTATTAGAATGCTCAGATTTTCCTCTGTTACTTAACTCTGTTCATATTTTTGAAAACAAATTAAGTTGCAACAAATTGGTTTGTTAATCTTGATGTTTGCATGGAGTGAATGAAACAAACAAGATCTCCAAACCAATTGCCTTAAACTTTGGATGCAATCATGTCACTGTTGGAAAGGGAAAGTTGCTAATTTTGTTACATACTGACTCAGAGCAGACAGCTGGTAGAGAATGTTCTTATTCCAATCAAGCTTATTTTGTATAATGAGTTGGGCAAATGTACACAACTGGGTAAGCAATGTATATAAAAACAAAAATATGCAGCTCATTTAACAAAACACTGCCGATTATTGCGCTCCGAGCGCGGAGCGAGCGCTCAGCAACGCGTGCAATTCCCCCAGCATGGCACCGAGCTAGATTGGCAGAACCAAAGATTTAACAGCACAGAGCAGAACTTTATCAACACACACACACCACTGAAGTCATAAAGCACACAAACCGAAGCACTCAAATGAGCAGCTGAACTCCGTCAAGTGTTCCTGGTGATGGTTAAAATAGTCCATGCAGCTCAGCCAGTGGAGTGTGCAAAAATGTAATGACTACAGGATGCACACTGGATACACATGCTGGAAAAATATGCAGCTTGCTCAATAAGGTATGCAAACAGCTTTGAACTGAATGCTGCCATAAAAGGCTGTGATACAGCAATCAAAGTTTTGCTGAACAGATCTAATTTTTAGTCTAATTTCTGTCTATACTTATATCCTTTAACACACCAGTTATGAAGCGTAAAAAGCAAAAGGAATAGAAACAAACTGAGCACATTCTAATTTTTAGTCTAATTTCTGTCTATACTTATAATCCTTTAACACACCAGTTATGCAGTGTAAAGAGCAAAAGGACTAAAAACAAACTGAGCACGTTAAAACACTCTTTTGCAAGAAAATTATCACTATTCTGAATTATTAAATCAGTTATAGAGATGTAGAAGATTGTCCTCTTATAAGCAATATAATTGAGATACTCCAAAATGAGTATTCAAGAATTTAAGAAATGTCAAGAAAATAAAATTAGATTAAATCTACTTAAAATTCCCTAGAAATTTTTCTGGTCTCCAGAGCATCAATACAGAGAAAAATGGTGCAAATTTTTACAATAAAAATACTTCTTGGGTATTTGGGAGTGTATGAATACCACTAAAAGAGGCAATGTTCAAACTGATGCTGTACCAGAAATAATAATTCTTTGCTTTCACTTCAGATTTTGGATAAAATCTTAAGTATATTTCATTATTTTGACAAACTGATCTGCCATTTTTTGGGTAGGTGGAAGAGGCATGATGCAGAAAAGCCTCTCAGGAGAGCACCGAGTCAAACCATGCTCCTGGGGATGTGTTGTGGCTTCACAGCATGAGGGAAGACAACTGCTGCAGTCTCAGGCTCTGGGCTTGGGCTGCCAAATCTGAGACAGATGTTGGAGAACATGAGACAAGGCAGGCAAGTTCTGCCTACTGAGAGAAGGAGGAGGAGGACCTCTTTCCATAACATGGGCAATAAGTATGAAATTGAAGGTATCTTGCTCATAAAACAACTGGGACAGAAAACAAAGGAAAAGCTTGATACCTCCTTTAGCCTTAAAATTTACATAGAAATTGAATTTATGTCTAGTTTTCCTTATAGTCCCTTGCAAACTTACATCAGGAATTAAAGCACAATCAGGTATAAAGGGATGCTCAGTATATTTAAGGTGAGCAAGACAAAGATGAGCCATGAATAAAAGGAGGAAAGGTGGCTGAAATACATCACATTTTCCTCTTGTTGCCAGCAGTTTTCCTGACTGGTGCTGGAAGGAGCTGCTGGCTGTTTGGGGAGCAAGCACACAGCAGGGTGGTTTGGGTTTGGAGCTGAAGGCACTGAGAGGGGATGGTTGCATTGAGGATCATATTCCAGCAGGCTGGTGGGAGCACAGGGTTCACCCAGCTCCCAGCAGGTTTCCAAAAGAAAGTCACACTTTTGACAAAGGTTAAGTGCCTTCCCCCAGGATCAGGACACATTAGGTCCCTTCAAAAAGGCTTCCAGGTTTATTCTGCACGGTTTTCCCTGGCTGGCTGCTCACAGAAATAAATGTGCAGCTCTGGCTGACATTAAAAGGGAAAAAAAAAACAAACACACCATAGAACACCACAAAATTCTGCCTGAGGCAGACACCTGGCACGGAAAATTTTGTGTCAAATCATTACAAGTATGAGAAGTTTTAACTAACTGAAAATAGGGTTTGCAGTAGGAAGTGTCAGGCTTC